TGACTTTCAGTTAAACACCTTTATTGTTTTATCAAACATCTTGTGTATGACAAACCTTTTTCTATGTTTGACTTACACAAGCACCGAACCATGGTGAATTTTCCAGTTCTTTAACTTTCTTGGAGCCCTTTTTCCAAATACCGTAGCTCAATGATACATAAATTCTATTTTGAACAAGCAACAGCTATCACACTCACCCCCATTTGCTATAACAACCCAGACAGGGTGAAGGCTATTAATGAAGTGCCCTTTTTGGTTCTATACTGTGTGCTCTACTATCACACTGAATTGTTTCTCTGCAGAATGTAAAGCTATTTTAGCAGCTAAAGGAAAATTTTAATTAATTTTTAAATTATCACTACTACCTCTATGCTGCTGACACTATTGGTCCTGGAATACTTTACTTGTCTGATATGCATGGGGTCAAAACTTGTTCTGGGAATTCGAAACTAATCTTAACCTGAACATCTCAGGTAGCGGATCAGTGGAGCCTGTCATTTCAGTGTTAAGGCAGCTTTAACCAAGAACAAAATGCTTTGATGCAATATAGCATTTAGTGGATATTGTGGAATTGCCTTAATTGTAGGCAAAGCAGAAATTTCCATACTTGAGATTAGAATGTCATCTTCAAATTCTCTGCACCTCCTCTCAGAGAATATTTTAAAGACAATATTTTTACTGCCAACACCACAGAAAATAAAAATATATTATTTAATCTCTGCAGAATATATTCCCCATACCAACATTACAGTTGATCAAGTTACTAATATAACCTTATACCAAATGTATAACAAGAACATTACAATTAAAATACCCCTAAGCTTAAAGAATATGGAAATAACTATTTGCATAAATATTCTATAATCCATATAGTTTGTACATTTGGTTAATGACAATATTGACATGTTTGCAAACCTTACAGTAGATAATCAAACTTGGTTTATTTGGGTACAAAACTTGCATAATATTTTTTTCCTCTTGTTTCAGGTGACATCCACTGTTATGTTCCACCATATCCTGGAAGTCCAGGCCCTCCAGGTTTTCAAGGGGCTCAAGGTCTGTTTATTCAGACGGGGAAATGGGGGTGTTCTGATTTTAAAGAATTTGTTATTATTGTTTAAATGATAGTGAGTTGGCTACTGAAAACTAGCCAACTAGGAAACAGTAAGCCACATGGTGAACGCTCTAGTTCAGGGATTCTCAAACTGTGGGTCGGGCTTCGGTCCCCCCTCCTGGAGTCATGTATTAATTTTTATTGTTGAAAAGGGGCTGTAATGCAATGAAGTTTGTGGACCCCTGCTCTAGTTATTGAAGCGGAACACAAAAGGTCTCAAAATGGAAGATTGTAAATAGACAGGAATAGACTGTAAACTAAGTATAACCACCAATAATTAAGGACTAGGCTATGGCCCAGCTTGTGTGGCCCCAAAGAGCGTGAGTGGGTGGAAGCTGCCCCCTTGCAATGGCTACCAGGGTCATGAGTGGCCACATGAGGAGATCAGCATATGTGGAGCTGCTACATCCCGTGCCGATGCAGATAGCTCAGACAGGTTGGGAAGAGCCATCAATTAACTAGGAGTATCTACATCCATATGCTGGGGGAAGTAAACATGCTGGGCATACACCTAGCACTGGGCACTTCCCCCACAAAGCAAGCAGGAGCCCAGAGGGCAGAGTGTGACTTTCGAAGTCATAATCTGATACAAGGGCAGAACAGGCACTGGTATGACCCTTGCTTGGTGCTCCTGGCAAAGCCACAACTCAGCCCTATTTTTACTAGAAAGACATGTCCAAATTCATCCCTTGTCTAATTCCTTTTTAAATGCATAGAGTTAAACCAGGGATTGACCAACAGCCTATTCATTGTTGCTTGTTGCTTGTGGTCAGGAAGACTCCAAGAAAATAGAGAAAGATCCCACCGAAAGCAAGTGAACACTTTGGACTTCCATTGAAGCCACTTTTAGGTGACCTTTGTACAGCAGCCTGATATAAATATTTTAAGTTTTAGCTAGACTGGGACCTCATACGCTCTGAAGTGAAAGAACGGGGAACGATACATTTTGATCAGCTGTGCCATCCCAGAATAAATTAGGAGGGAGTGCAGAACATATGAAAACTATTACTTTGACCCTGTAAGTCTTGGGATTCAAAGATTTTATTTTCTCTTACTCTATGCACAAAGAAATTGAGTTAGGACCCAGTTTTCAGTAGGTTCATATCATTGGTAGCTTTATAATTTATTCTAGTGCTGTCAAGCGATTTAAAAAATTAATCGCGATTAATCGCAAAGTTAAACACATTTATCATGTTAAACAATAATAGAATACCATTTATTTAAATATTTTTGGATGTTTTCTACATTTTCAAATATATTGATTTCAATTACAACACAGAATACAAAGTGTACAGTGCTCACTTTATATTTATTTATTACAAATATTTGCACTGTAAAAAAACAAAAGAAATAGTATTTTTCAATTCACCTAATACAAGTACTGTAGTTCAATCCCTTTATCATGAAAGTTGAACTTACAAATGTAGAATTATGTATAACTGCATTCAGAAATAAAGCAATGCAAAACTTAAGATCCTACAAGTCCACTCAGTCCTACTTCTTGTTCAGCAAATCGCTCAGACAAACAAGTTTGTTTACATTTTCAGGAGATAATGCTGCCCACTTTTTGTTTACAATGTCACTTGAAAGTCAGAACGGGTGTTAGCATGGGACTGTTGTAGACGGCATCACAACATATTTATGTGCCAGATGCGCTAAAGATTCGTATGTTCCGTCGTGCTTCAACCACCATTCCAGAGGACATGCGTCCATGCTGATGACGAGTTCTGCTTGATAACAATCCAAAGCAGTTCATTTTCATCATCTGAGTCAGATGCCACCAGCAGAAGGTTGATTTTCTTTTTCGGTTGTTCGGGTTCTGTAGTTTCCGCATCGGAGTGTTGCTCTTTTAAGAGTTCTGAAATCATGTTCCACACCTTGTCCCTCTCAGAGTTTGGAAGGCACTTCAGATTCTTAAACCTTGGGTCGAGTGCTGTAGCTATCTTTAGAAATCTCACATTGATACCTTCTTTGTGTTTTGTCAAATCTGCAGTAAAAGTGTTCTTAAAATGAACAACGTGCTGGGCTATCATCTGAGACTGCTAGAACATGAAATATATGGCAGAATGCGGGGAAAACAGAGAAGGAGACATACAGTTCACCCCCAAGGAGTTCAGCCACAAATTTAATTAATGCATTTTTTTTTTTAACAAGTGTCATCAGCATGGAAGCATGACCTCTGGAATGGTGGCCGAAGCATGAAGGGGCATACAAATGTTTATCAAATCTGGCATGTAAATACCTTGCAATGCTGGCTACAAAAGTGCCATGTGAATGCCTGTTCTCACCTTCAGGTGAGCGGGCAGCATATCTCCCATAAATGTAAACAAACTTGTTTGTCTTAGTGATTGGCTGAACAAGAAGTAGGACTAAGTGGACTTGTCGGCTCTAAGGTTTTACATTGTTTTGTTTTTGAGTGTAGTTATGTAACAAAAAAATTCTACATTTATAAGTTGCACTTTCATGATAAAGAGATTGTATGTACTACAGTACTTGAATGAGGTGAACTGAAAAATATTATTTCTTTTATCATTTTTACAGTGCAAATATTTGTAATAAAAATAATAATATAAAAGTGAACACTGTACAGTTTGTATTCTGTGTTGTAATAGAAATCAATATGCTTGAAAAAGTAGAAAACATCAAAAATATTTAGACAGGTTTCAGAGTAGCAGCCGTGTTAGTCT